ACCTTTGAGGAAAACATTCTTCCTTTGTATAAGCGATCATCGGCACATGTTGACTCCTCAGTGGTAATTGTTTAGGAAGATAACTTTTTTGCACTTGGAATTAGCCACGTACAAGAATTCCCTATATTGCCCATTTCCTGATACCTATCATAGAGCAATGTCTCAGGCAATTGAATCTCGTTCTCACCAGCAATGGGGTTATTTCACACTGAACATTTCATACATCACTACCTCCAATAGGTTCCATTTCGCCTTTAACATTATTTCAAATTGGAATGTCACTGTCATAAAGCAAATCATCGTCTAAATTGTCATCATGCCTTTCATTAGGCCCATCATCTGAATTGTCATCAAATTTATCTTCACCAGCAAGGAACAAATCCTCATTTCCCTTATCAAATGCAGTAGTATCCTCGAGCATCATAGTGTCACACTTCAACGTCGTAGTGTTGTCCTTAAGTGTCGTATTCTCATTTGAAATGGCATTACACCCTTTACAGTTTTACCAAATCGTTGCATTTGTTAGACATAAGCAAGTAATTTGTTCGATGCATATGCTCATCAAAATTGTGCAGCCCACTATTTTATGAATATCGTGTGTCTATTAGGCTACACAAACTCTTGTGCATACATCAATTGCCATTGTTATGGTTTATGGATCGAATGTTGTGGAATATGTCAAGCATTATAAATCTCATTTTGATTAAGTTGATTACCATATTGTACATCTTTTTCATGTGACACAACATTTGTTTGGTGTTCTTTAATGGTGATATACACAGTCAAAACATTCCTTTGTTCTAGTAGAATTAATGCAAGATCTTCATCATCCTTGATTTTTGAGCATGATAGTTCTCTGGGTGTACTAATCAATGCATGCAACTCAATCTCATGAATTTATGAGTTTACCCAAACAATATCTTCAACCAATCTTATTAAACCTGCAAACGACAAATCACTCCTAAACCCTCGTATTTGTGAGTCACCACCCATGTAAATGCCATCCACCCATTGACCATCGTGTCTTATCACAAGTCACACATTTGAAACCCCATTGAAATTTTGAAAACAAAAAATTTGTCAATCATTTTACACATTACATGTCGTGTTCTAAAATGTGTCAGTCATGTTGTTACACACCATGTTCAAAAACTGTTACACGCCATGTTTAAAAAATGTTGCAAGTCATGTTCACAAATGTTAGGTGCAAGTTCAAAAAATGTTACACACCATGTTCAAAATGTTATACGTAAGTTCAAAAATTGTTACACGCCATGTTCATAACATGTTACATGCCATATTCAATAAAAATATTACACGCCATGTGCTAACACATGTTATTTCACTATATTTTTTACACGCCATGTACATTATAAATGCATGACGTGTAACAACTCTGGACAATGTTTTTAATCCATGTTCTAATTTACATAAAAAGTTTCAGAAATTAATGTGTTGTAGCAATAAACCCAATAACATACCTTGATGCCATTTTTACTATAGAGTCTATTTATCAACGACAATATAGCTAAATGCCGAAAGACAGACCACAACACGATGACGATGGTGCTCAACAGAAAGTTGACAGAGCTGATACAATTTAGAGAGCTGATGACGTTGGTGCTCAACAAAAAGTTGACAGAGTTGATATAGTTCAGAGAGTGGAGAGAGAAAGATGAGCGAGCTGAAATAGCTGAGCATTTATTTTTATTTTCTCTATGACGGGAGAGAGATATCGGAAGCTTAATTTGCCAAGATGTTTTTAAAGAACATTTTGGTCTACTCATGCTTATTTTTGGATAAAAATAAATAATTTTATATAAGTGGTTATTTTTGAAACTACCTTATGAGGATAGCTATTTCTCACAATTTCCTCCATAAATCTAAAAGAATAAATAAGACAAGAAAGTTGAGAGAACAAAGAGCCAACTAATTTGTCAATGAAAGATTTTTTTCAAGGTATTTCATATTTAAAAACTCAAGATACATACGGTAAATTATTTAATAACTTTAGGGTATTTTTGTTTGTTACTATTTTACCTTCCATTCACGTACATGTAGGAACATATAACATAACATTTATTTCAGTTGTAAAGATAACAAATATCATGTTCTTAGCATAATAAATCTCTCCAAAAGGGACCAATAAAGAAGTGCAAAACTTTACACTAATACCACGTCACACAAGTGAAATACGTTTTAATTTTTGTATTAAAGATTGATACAAAGGGATTTACGTAAAAACACAAGTAATAAATAAGAAAAATAAGATAAAAAGTAAACTCTCCAAAATATCACTTGAATGTTATAAATTGGGTACTTTAAAAACTTATTTTTTTTTAAGAATAAAGGTTTATTATAACACACTTCCAAAAAAAAAAGTTTATTATAACATATGACATGGATCACTAGACAAGATAAAAGAGAAAGAGATAGAGAGAAAAAAACATAGAAAAAGATATAAAATAAAACTATTTATTAGCTTTATAAGCAATTTAAATGAGTTTTAATTTTATTACCACCATTTTTGTACAATTATAATGACAATTAAACAATCATATATTGCAATATAACCAAAAGTCAAATTAAAATATTATTTATATACATTACTTTAACATTATTTTTAATAATACTTGAATATAAAAATATTACACGTGTAGCACCTTGTTGGAATATTAGTTAAAAAAGAAAAAAAGAAATCTCATCCCCCTTTTGCATTCATAATCTCAGAGAAGACATTCTCAGAGCTCATCCTATGAATGTCACTTCGATTAGCACTCCTTCCGCCACTACTAATCGTGCTCCTTGATTCAGGCACTTGCCCACTTGAAACGCTAAACAAGTCATCATCATCTGTGGTGGTGACTCGTCCTCCTTGCGAGATCAAAGGACTCGTTTGGCTAGAGATGACCTGCTCATCTTCCCTGTTCATCATGTTCCTCTCAGTTGCCTCTTGGATTTGCAGTGCAAATTCTAAACCCCAAACCACATCACTCATCATTGGCCGCTCTATTCCTTCATCACGGATACAACTTCCCGCAAGCTCACCAAATTTCTTTAGGCACAAAGGTGTAATATCCCCCACCAAAATTGGGTCCATGATTTCCTCGAGGGTTCCTCTTGCATGGCAAATCCTGGCCCACCGAGCCAAGCTCACTTGATCCTTTGGAAGCCCTGGAATCATAGACGGTCGAGCACATAATGCCTCAAATAAAACCACACCAAATGAGTAAACATCAGATTTCTGAGTCAACTGCTGCCTGCGATAGTATTCAGGATCAACGTATCCGATACTCCCCTTTACCACAGTGCTGACGTGGCTCTGACAAAGGTCCGTGGGACCCACCCTGGACAAGCCAAAGTCAGAAACCTTGGCTACCCAATTCTCATCCAATAATATGTTGGTAGATTTGACATCACGGTGAATGATTGGGTATTTCACACCTGAATGGAGGTAATGCAATCCACGGGCGGCTCCAATGCAGATTTCCAACCTCCTTTTCCACGGCAAAGGAGGGTTTTTGGTTTTGTAGAGATAATCACGAAGGGTCCCACGCGACATGTATTCATAGACAAGAATCATCTCGCCATGATCATCACAGAAACCAATCAAGGACACAAGATTAACATGGCGCAGCTTGGAGAGCAGCTCGAGTTCAGTTTGGAACTCACGGGTCCCTTGCCTTGATGATGAATCTAACCTTTTGATTGCAACTGTGGTCGAGCCACCATCGATGAAACCTTTGTAGACGTGGCCAAATCCTCCTGATCCAATAATGAATTGCTCATCAAAGTTAAAGGTGGCTTCTTTCATCTCAATGATGGAGAACCGGCAGCAAATAT